GGTGTTGCACATTTTAGAGGATATATAAACAAACCATTTTGGAGGAGTTAGCAAATTATAAAGCAAATCCAAGGTGAGGGGCTGCCAGAGCCTAGCAGAGGGGAATATGAATAAGGAGTGGGGTCCTGGGTGGCTGGCAGAGGGACTGCTTAAATGGTGCCTGGGACCGTGGGTTTGGACAGACTGGTACAGAGTAAATTACTTTGAGGCCTGTGGTGACACGTATGTCCAGTTCTGCCTAGCTTATAAGCCTGGTAGCAGCAGCCTTGGTCGGAGCCCACTATCATAGCTCAGGCTTTGCATGTAGTTTTTAGATCTCTAAAGGGATTCACATCACCACTTGGCAGGCACGTGGTTCTTCCAAGGGCTCAGTTACTAATGGTCAGTAGTGAGGCAGCTACATATCCTGTAATCAGACCAAGTCTCCAGGCTTTGGCCTTACAAGTTGGGCAAGACCAGTTCTGGGATGAGGGGCAGCAAGAGACACCAAAGGTATTGTGGTGATTTGCCATGTTGCATTCTGCTCGAATATTAATCCTAGCCTGTAGGTGTACCAGTCACTGCCCACGAGGTCACTATCCTAGATGCTCTACCAACACCAGAACAAACCCCAGGTCCCTGCTGCAAAGCACATATGATCTATATATTAGGCAAGAGAAAGTAAATGGCTAAGTAGAGATTTATTTATTTTATTTATTTGTATGGAATACAGCAAGCAAATGACAGAACAAGCTATAAACATCCTATAAATAACAGCACTGAGGAGTAAGGCTGGAGTGACTGTTTTAGATTTGATATCTGTGGCAAAGCATTGCCAGTAACCTGGTGCAGGTTTTCAATGCAACCATTAAAATAATAAACAGGGCACTCCTCCGTGATGTGTGCTATAGTTTAGTTTTTGCCACACTCACACTAGTGGTCTTTAATAACATTCTATTTATGTAGTAAGCAGTTATGTCTACCTTGTCCAGTACAAACCCTATTCAGTGTTATCCAGCTCTGCCTTGGTGAAGCAAAGCCAGGTGGTTTAGATGTGGGGTCCACGATGAGAAATTTATTAATGATGTCAATCTTATAGATTTCATAGATTCATAGATTAAGGGTCGGAAGGGA